CAACTACATCCTCCTCGCTCCACAACAAGCCGCTGGAAACCGGAATTCGTTCTCTCGTGGATCCCGTCGGATCTGTGGCCCACCCACAGCAGGGCCGTGCACGCTCGATACGTCTTACTCAGTTAGAGCCCGGGGCCACGCTGCATGGCTAATCACTTACATTAGAGCAACAGATTGGCGAGCACTCCTTCAATCTGCCACAACACAGATGCACACACGCAAACATGCTGAATATTGCCTGTTCTTTCTCACAACAAAGATTAAAGTCCTCTTGTTTGTGCTCAACTTCCTCAATTACAGGAGCTTTAGCAGCATGGGTGGTCAGCTTTATGGAAAGAAACAACTGGTGAGGAGACTCACGCGCTGGACTCACACACAGCACCAAACACCAACGATCGCGGTGAACTCTTTAATGTGACCGGCCTCGTTTGCAGAGGGCTAATGTGCCCAGAGCCGGCAGTGGAAGAAGAGCCGTCGTGTCACGGTGCATCAGCAAACGCTGCATTCCTGCACTCGCTCTAAAGCACACACCCCACCAGGGATGTTGGAGAGCCAGTCTGCCCTCTCTGCTCTGGTTTATGACCCACACAACAGTCCGGGTGTTTCGGTTTGAACAGGCCACATTTTCCTGTAACGTGTTCCTGAAATTCGAGCCCAACAACATTACATTTTCCATAACAGAACCAAGACCACTGCCATTAAAACTGGTTTGCCGATTTGGAACGGCATGCTCTCCAAGGGTCTGGAGGATCCTAGGGACCATCTGTGCTCCGATGCCTACGTGCATCTTCCAGGAAGTCCAGAATCAGATCAGAAACCCACGCTTCTCTTCACACCCAACTGTTTTCACTCATTCCTCAAAACCATCATCATTCCACCGCTCACGTTCTTCCTCAATCACTTCCTGTCTGTTCTGCAATCAGAGGAAGCAGCGAGACAGACAGCCGGGAATGTCGACAGCTTTTGAACCACGCACGGCATCTGCAGACACCGAGACAGTCGCGGTGGCAGGATATCACAGTGGAGCGATCTCTGAAACCAGGCTTTTCTTTTCATGCATCTCATGCAACTACAGGTGCAAGAGTTAAGCTTTAAAATAAATGTAGAGTTGGTATCACTTATAAGAACAAAAAGCAAACATAGTGCCTCTTAAACTGCAAATAAGCACAATTATTATTAATTATTTTAATCGTTTGTGGTTAATAGTGTTTAAATATTTCCAGAAAAGCCTCGAGGCTAAGGCAATTACACTTAGACAAAAGATATTTATCACTTTCTGTTGTTTTTTTACTTTCTGTTAACAAACAGCCCAGATATGCATAGGTTCATGCATTTGCAACATGTTTGGAAATAATTATGCAAAAATGAACAGAGGAGCTAAAATAAACAAACCACCTTTTGTCCATTCAGTGGTCAGAACCGGATTAGATAATCCCTAAAGACAACAACGTCGCCACAGCAGAGAACCTAGATGAGGAGAGGATTGCAAAGGCTTCAGCAAGCGGGTGCATGCATCATCTAAAACACTCCAGCCTCATCTGAATAGGGGCGAGGCTGAAAAGCAAAAGCAAAGAAAGTAGGAGTGGCACAAGATTCTGTTTTTTATTCTAAAACTCGTTTTCACTGCAGCACAAATACGTTTTCTACTAAAAACAACACTACACAAGAGTAAGTCTAACATTTCCACACGTCTCTGACTGAACCTGCAAGTGGTCGAAGATTAAAGCTCAAAACCAACAAAAAAAACGTTTAAAAATCATGATTTTACTCAGAATGCTCCGATTAGGATTTGTTATCCATCAGGCAGGATCCAACGATCAAACCACCCACTTCTGTTCCTGCACAGTTCAAATAAGGACGCCAGTCCTCATGAAGCCAGAACATCAGACCGTGCTGAGCCAAAATCTGTTCGTGACGCCTCAAGTCTTCATAACCAATGAGCTCTCAGGGGTCTTATTGGCTTCAGCACCACTATAAACAAATATGTAGACACACTGCACGAGTGCCGCTGCTTTCACGAGGCAGCGAGGCACAGTTACCCACCTCACCCATTAAACGGAAATGCCAAAATGAAAACCAGTGGAAACGAGGGGGAGGTCTTTCCAATCCTCAAGGGACGCCATTAAAGCCATTTCATTCAGTTTGATTCAGTCGAGAGAAACAGTCATTTCCTGTGAGGAGCATTGGTTTCGGTGCGGACCACATGAAGCAGCAAGGGTGGTGCTGCTGAGTTTGGTGCTTTCACCAGAACAAATGTCGGGAGTTCGAAACAGAAGTCGGTCCGCTGCACAGCTGCCGTTTGGGGGAAATGAGACTAAAAGCAACGAAGCCGCCGTTGAAGCCCCAAACCTCACGAGACAGGAAGGAAGTTTGTCGCTTAGGTGAGGTTTACGAGCGATCAGCACGACTTAAAAGACGAGCTGAAGAGAAAAGAGCCTTTCTGCTCTCCTCATAACACTTTTGGTTCAGCACCAGTGGATTCCTTTTAAAGTAAGTGTGTGTTGCATGAAGAATGCCCGTCAGCCAGCTGCTGCTGGGATTTGAGCATCACAGATGTTCACGGTGGCTCCAGAGGTTGAATCAAGAGATGAGACCAAACAAGACAAGCTCACGGTTGACCCAGCTCTCCACCGGGCGACATGTGCACCTCTGCAGATGCAACAGACTCCATCACTTACTATAAATACTGGGAATAAAAAGAAAGTCAGTCCCGCCACATTCCTAAGGCCCCAGCATTCCCACGTGTTAGCTAGGCCTGGAATGAAATCCAACACTCGGATCCCTCGAACTCCAAAGCGCTATCCTGGTGTAACAAATCTCTTTCTTATTTCATCTCAGGAGAACGAACCCGAGTCACGAGCACCCACTAAAGACGTGTGGGTGTGGGTGGGGTGTGTGTGTGTGTGGGGGGGGGTCCTGGCATGGGTTCAACCTCAGAGCTGGTTACCATGACTCTCAGGAGAGAAGGGACGAAGCCGAACTTCCCAGAGGCTCCATGTTGTTCCTCGAACTCCCCATGGGTCCTGTCCTGTTGAGGGATTACCATGACCTCACCCAGATTACACAGATGCTTGACTCTTCAAAAGGACCCACTTTGGTACAAGCAATAAAACAAGTTCCTCTCTGCTCACTGTTCCATTAAATCTGTTGGCTCAGCCATTTTCAGAAGACATGCCACCTCGCCATTGTTCACCTTCGCACTCTTTGCATTGCTGTCTAAGTAGGAGCCAGTCCCGTCTGAGGAAGAGGTCAACCGCTGCAGTGTCGAGGACAGAAGGCCTGTGGGTAATGTCTGGAATGTCCTGCTGGGACGGTTATAGCAATGCATACAGAGCCAGACCTCTGAAGTGACCAGTGGCTTTTTAAATAGCCTCCAGTCGTGCCTCTCTGAATTGAAGCACTGTAAGGAGGAGATATGCTTACACATCATAAGCTGCAGAAAGTGTGTCACTGGCACACTTACAATAGTGCCATTTGAGACACAATCAGTGTGGGGACTTCCAGGGAGGAAGAGGAGTAAGCTGCCCTTCTCGGGAAGTCTCGAGGACCTTCGTCCTTCGGACACTGAAGCGAGTCATCTGAAAACAAAGACGATCCAAAAAGATCCGACTAAAACAGCTTTAGCTCTCGTCTCCGTCCTGCCTGCAAATAAAAACCACCGAGTTGGTGGCACGACCCGAGGGATAAAATACCAGCTGTAGCATCCTATCTGTCCCTCACACACTCTAATCCTGACAGATCAGATCAGCTCATCAATCTGTGACGGGCGATAAAATATAAAATCCTCACGAGTTCTGACGGCAGCAGAGGATGTTCCTGCAGTACGCTGGAGCCGTCCATTTATACAGGTTCTCTGGTTACATAAGGAATCCGTCAGTGATGTCACGCTTGAATGTGGCGAGGTCTCCTGCATCAAGAAGCCTTCAATATGGTGGAAATGGATGTTCACTCCCATGTGTCGCTCTCGGTGCACGGTCTCATCAGGCCAGTCCACCTCTCACCCTTCACCGCCAAATCTCAATCCAGCAAAGTAAAAGTCAAGCTTTCCAGGGAAAATTACACTTTCACACATGAGATTTCTACAAAGGATGCTTTCCATCAGCAAGTCATCCGACCCGTTCCCAAAGTGGGGGTTGGTTGGAAGCAGGGAGGGGGTATGCAAAGTATTGATCATGGAGGACTTAGTGCTGTCCGGTCTGAACTGGCTTGCCAGCAATGTTTGTAATCCATAAATCAGGGAAGATCTGGGTTTAAAGTGCATGTTTTGGTAGAAAACCGACGTTTTTGTGGCGAGTTTGGCGTTTGCAGCCTTTGTGGATGTACGAATAAACACATCTGTTGGGTAAAGATGCTTTTGGTTTAGTTCTAATTTTTAAAAAAGGATAGAAATGATTTATTTCACTCTGCCAAACTAGCTTTCCCCGACGGTTGTCAACATGTCCAGTTCTCGGAGGATCTATGGAAGGTGTGGCTGTCAGGCCCGTGCTCGTAAGAATGGACCGTGTGATTGATGTGCAGGCAGATGTAGCCTCAGACCTGAAATAGACCGGTACCATTACACAACGTGTTCCCTTCACCTTCAACTCGAAAACGTCAAACAGGTCCTGGAACAGAACACCAAGTCATCACGGCACACCTCACTGGGTTTAAAGTGAAATTTCACATCCATCTGTTCATCTGGCAACAAGACCAATCATTCCTGAAACCTCCCAACAGAAGAATGAATAAACCCGAGAGCTATCCCTGAATAAGTCCAAATTTAGCTTCCAGTCAAGACCAGCAAATGGAAGGATGCAGGAAGCTTTCAGCACCGGTGAATAAAGAGCCCAAACATCTCACATCCCTGCTTTTATTGCTGTTTACGACCCATAAAGCCACCGTACTGTACCAAACAGGCAGTTGTGTGAAACGCTGACTAGCTCTCCCAACACAACATAACATCAATCACACAAACGGAGTGCGGCTGTACGGAGAAGCAGGATACTGGAAGAGTTACTTGCCCGTGTCAGAAATGCTGCGGTAACAGAAGAAAGGCTCTCAAGTCCCGTCACCAACAGCACAGCTAAAAGGGCCACTCCACAAAGCAAGCCTACAAGGACGTTTTAAAGTATTCCCGGGTCTTTTTTTAGAAAACTCGTGCCGTTCGGAGTGCGAGGTCCCGATTCCATGCCCTTCTCTAGAGTGAAGCTGCTGCGTTTGTCTGCGCGCCCTCGGAGCCTCCGAGCCGGGCTCTGGATTTCAGCTGACTGAGCTGGGAGCAGGGATGTTGACATTGTCCCCACTAACTCTCCCCCACCCTCTCACCATCACTCATCTACCCTCTCCTCCCCTCCCTCTCTGGATTCCAGCCCCAGCGTATGACAGCATCCATGTGAAGTTCAGCTAAAAGGCTTTCTGTCCAGGAGTGTCGTACAAGGCCAGAGAAGAGGAAGCTTGTGCTTCCACACCCTGTCTGCAGCCACAATCCCACCTGATGTTCACCAAGTCAGCAGAAAAAAATGTAGGGAGGGTATAGAAACAGAAAGCCAAAGGAAAGCCCTTTTCCTGTTAATCACACACAAAAATGCCCAACGTGGTGTTGGTAGTCGCCCCTGTGGCTCAGACAGGAAAAGGACGTTCCTGTGATGTAATCCGGGCCGACCGAGACGAAGGTGAGGTGGCATGTTCGATAACACAAAGCTCCATTGGGTTTGTTAGGCTGGGAGCAACAGCTCAGGCTAATGCTATGTGTGGAATTGCAGGGAGGCGAGTTGGAGGGACACAACATAGAAAAGCAAACAGGAGGCCCGTTACAGCCAGAGCCAGCAGTCACACCTCAGCGGCGATGACATCAGCCTCTGAACCCACAGGCCACCTCCGAGGAACCATCTGAAAGGTGCAAGTCTGCGACCGGCACATCAGAACCTCAAACCTCAACAATGCTGAAGCAAAGGTTGTATTATGAAGAACTGCAGCGGCACTAAAGGGTTTCCTTCATTTAAGACGTTCCATGATGATGATCCGTATCCTGGGAAGAAGATCGCAGCTCTTTAGGAAATAACGGGATTAGAACAGAAGCATCTGCCACAGACCTAAAAGCAATACAATCATCCTGTCTTCATTAAAACCACAAGTGCCCTTTTGCACAAATGACAGCCATTTAAAAAAAAGTCAAATTTCTCTGGGGACGGAGGCCAGATGACACCAGGCTGCTGGCTGTGGTGCATTCCTGAGAGAGCCCTGGGGACGCATCCATTACCCCAGTTTGGAGACAAAGCTAGCTGCTCTCCAAGATGTCCACTTCCCCTCCTGGTCCTTTCCTCGCCCTTTCTCTGCCATATTGCTTCTACTTTCTCTCCAGGGTCCCCTCGCGATCCCCAGAGCAGAAGGAAACCCTGACGAAGCTCTGAGGAGATGGCTACACCCCAGGCTTCGGTCTGGCTAAGCGCACATCAGCTACTCCTGCGTCATCCATCACAGCCTGGTATCTGAGGCAAGTGGCGTTTGTTAGACTTGCTGCTGATGAACATCACGCCCCCAAACTCAGGAAAACAGAGGCATGCATTTAAAAAAGAAACCATCCACAAACCCATCTGCTCTTCTCTTTTTGAGAGCGCGTTTGTTTTCACTTGTTCTGCACGGCATGCATTTTTCTGACAAAGAAAATGAGAGGTTGGGCGTTCATGTGAAACTCCACATCGTCACTCTGAGAGCAGAGGCGACCGCAGATTGCAGCTTGAATTTGGCGAACTTTCGCCGCCCCGACGGTTATTCCTTCGAACGCAGGAGAAGCCGGTGAGTTGTTTGCCCACAGAGAATCTCAGCGAGTGGCAAATGTCACGACCGAGCCCAGATCCGGCTGGGGAGCACGTCGAGGAAGACGAGGATGCTCTGGAGAGATCGCCAGTCGCTCGCGTCCAGCTTGCTGAAGACGCAGCAGCACCGAACACTTCAGATGTGACATATTTATTCACTTGGAAGAAAAAACGTTTTCCCAGGGTAAATCGGAATATCGGATCAGAAACAAGGTCTCACCCGAGGTGGTCACTTTCATTTCACTTGGAGTTGGCATTTATGCAGCACAGCCGCAAGCAAACCTAATGAAAAGCTAGGAAACGGCCGTGAACGCGTGTGGAGACCAGCTCTTCATACGTGTGGGCTGTGAAACCGTCGTGGTTTACAACGGCATCATTCCGAGCTCCTGTTGACCAGACAGCTCTCGTTTCCCTTTGTTCTGTTTAAGCAGGAATTCCTCCAACAGCCTTTTGCACACAGCCAACTCGTTCACGCCCTCAGAGACAAATAAGAAAAACACGAAGGCTGAACTCTTGACAGCATGAATGCGAGGCCGCATTTTTACACACGACCTGATTGTGTGTCAGCCATGAATCATGGCGGCGGGGAACGCGGCACCATCCGTCTTTCAAAAGCAATCACAGCAAGGAAGTGAGCGATAAATCTAAAGTGATCAGCGTGTCCTCTGTGAGACGTTCTCTTTACACCCTCCTGGATCAAAGTCTGCTTTTTATTTCATAAATAAAACATTTCTGGTGTGAAAAGCCCTCTGCCGTTGCCTGCCACCCGTCTACGTTCTGTAAAAAGTACCGAATGTGTGAATGGCTCTCTGTCTGAGAGGCAGACTGGGCAGGGTCAAAGGTCGTCCAACTGCCTGCTTCCACAGTACTTCTCGTGTCTGCATGG